AATGGATGCTACCTGGTTACAAGAAAAAGAATCAAACCTAGGATGATTCTTTCAAGCAGAAATAGACAACTGGCCATTAGCACTCCAAGCAAAACTAGTGGTGATTATTTTAACACTCCTGGTTATACTCCAAAGAAGCCAAATAGAAATCTGAATGGATAGCACAATCTGTATTAATACTTTACAAAATCTTCTAAATCCATATATCAAAGACATAGGGAAAAGAAACAAAAAGCACAAGAATTGACAATTGTAGACAATATGCATAGACCTGATATACAAGAAACAGATCACAATCAAGATGATCAAAGTAAAAGCACATGACAAAGATAAAACCAACAACTAAGTAGATCTTCTTGTCAAAGAAGTAAAAAAAGAATCTAAGATTGTTTGAAACAACTGGTACTGGCAAGAAGTACTAACAACATTATGCAAAAATGGAATTCCCATTGATATTGGAATAAGAAATTTTATTAAAGAAATACATAAGAGAAATGTCTTAACAAAATGGGCAAACCAGAACTGAATATGGAAAAAATGGACTAAAAAAATGGACAACCAAAAAAATTTTGATTGGAGAAGTTTCTGGGAAGCAAACAGAATAGGAGGCTTTTTAACAACATTGCTTAAACAAGTCAAGGAAAAAACCTTCTGCATAAAACTAATGTATAATGAACTACCAATCCTGGACAACATGACTAAAAGATTCCTACAAAATACGGAAACCTAATTATGTGTTTATACTGCCAACAAGAAGAAAAATCCTTAGAGTACCTTCTTTCTTGCAATAGCATTTCAGAAATCCATAAAGAAATATAAAACTAAAATCAGAATCAAATACTCAACAAATGATTAGAATGTATCCAAGTGGAAAAGATACAAGACAAGCAAGCCACCATACAAAACCTTTTGCAAAGATGATATAGAAACAAATTCTTTATAGGAACAAATATCATAAGCATATTCTTAGAACTCTTTTCAAAGGAAGACATTGCAGAATGGACTTAAACAATAACTAATGCTAGGATGAAAACCAATGAAGCAAAGCAACTTTTGAAGAAACTGTCAAGAAACATCTGCAAGCAAGTCCAGAAGAAGATATGGAATAACAGATGTGTCAAGTTACAGGACTCTGGAAGAAAGCCTAAAATATATAAGCATAAAGAAAAAAATACTGGTGGAAGAAGAAGAGAAAAAGAAAACCAAGAGATTAAGAACTGAAAGAAACAAGCTCCAAAATAGTATAAGATAAGGAAGAGGACCTAGTCTGCAGACTCAAGACAAAATTTCTATTTGGAATTGGATTATAGAAGGAAAGAAATGGTTAGAAATATAAAAAGTAGTCTAGATTTTGCTTAGATGAACTGTAGTAATGAACTGTAGGCAATGATCTTTAAGATTGAACTCTATAAGTGAGTAAATTATAAAGGAAGCAACCTTTTTCATCTCCAAAGTCACACCTAGAGACACTAGTTAAAGACAAGTGTTTAAGACAATAGAATAGTTTATACAATACAATGTATTATATACGTATTATTTGTTTTCTATATATATTCAATAAACAATATGTACTTGTTTGACTATAAGAAAAAAATATATATATATAAAACAAATCTTATCTTTGTTTGAATTATAAAATTTTTCAAACATATTAAGAATGCTTTTTTTATATTTTCATCAGAATGTATACTCCAAATTTGTATAAAATCAATTATTATTAATTGCATTTTCTAATTTTTATTGATAAAATATATAGAAATGGCCAAAAAAGCTTTCATTAATACTGAAGTTCAAATATCAAAAGTAAATGAGATTCAATCTTCTGTTTTTTGTAATAATTTCTGTATTTTTTTTTGATTGACCAGATAGAATTTTATTATATTTGTTTTAATAGAAGTCAAAGAAGGTAATTTTATATTTTTCAATAAAATCTCTATAAAATTTTGAAAAGTTGGTTCTTGTACAATTGTAAAAGAATATTGCTTAACAACAATCCATTGGATTAATTTTTTTTCATTTTTTTATGATTGTATATTCACTAAATATTAAAATATTAAATAAATTAAATAATAAACTTGGTATTTAATATAAATAAAATTTATTACCTTTGCTTTATTAAAATAATTTTCAATACTTAGTCTGTTAATGTTTCAATTTAATTTTGCTATATGATATCTTTCAAGATATTTATATATATTAGTAGTACTGTCTCTACTACAAACATATGTAGTATTGCAATAGTTACAAGTTGCTTTTTTAGTATTTTTAAAATCCAAATCTTTCATAAAATGGCTCCATACTTTGCTTTAGTTTGTTATTATAGAAGATGATACTGTTTCTGATAAATTACTTGTAATAATATTATTGGTATTGCTGTTTTCATGACTAATTAAGCTGTTGGTTTTATCATTAATATATTGAAAATTAAAACTGTCAAAAAAATTTTCATGTTCCATTTTAAAAAAATTATTAAAAAAGTTATTAATAAAAAGTCAAACAATAACTATTAGAATAAAAAAAATATTAGCATTAAACAAACTTGCTGAAATATAAAAGAATGATAAAAACAGCAAAAGTAAAATTATCAAAAAGTTTTTATTTATAATCCTACATTGTGAAAAAATGAAGCAAAGTCAAGCTGTGAAAATTTTTGATCATTTTATTTTATTACTTTATATACTGTATTTCATTTTAATTTAATTTTTCTATTTAAATATAAAATATAAAAAATCAAAATTGGTTTTAATTTGAACCAAAACCGATCTGATCTAATCTGATCAATTTATAAAATTTTAAAACTGATCCAATCCGATTTTTATTGGTTTAAAAATTTTAAAAACTGAACTGATCTGAACCAAAATTGATTCATGAATCAATCGATTTTCAGTTTAAAACTTTGATCCCTAATTGATATGTTAATTAATAGATATATATATTTGTTTGCTTGTTTATTTGACCTTGTTTTTTTGAATATGTGTTCATAACATATTAAATTTGAAAGAAGTAAATTAGTTTTGGTTTTTATAAATTGAGGATATATATAATAAGATTTTCTCTTATCTCTATATAGTTGATAAAAAGTCTAACATTTTTCTAGCTCAAAAAAGGTGGTAAGATTATTTAATTTATTAAATAAAATCTAATTTTCCTTGAGTTTCTACAATATCTAGAAAAGTTATTTAATTTAATACATAATTGACTATAATGGTAACAAGAATACTTTCTAAAATCTTACTGTAAATTAGTAAGTTTGATTTTTGTTTTTTTTTTTTACAAAAAAAAAATAAATTACTGACTGCTTATTTGTGATGTTTTTTTAGATTTGAAGTGCTTTGATAAGAAAAACTTGATAAAGTTTTTTCTTTTCTAGAGATGATTTTCTAATTAAAAAATTTGATAATGAATAGAAAAGAGTTTATAGTTAAAATTAGTCTTTATATTTGTAATATTATCAAAAAATAATCTCTTGTAAATAAAAGTCTAGTTAATAACTATTTGATTTTAAGAAAAAAAATATGTTAAATAAATTAAAAGTATTATTAAAAACAAAAATAAACATTAAATATTAAAAAAAATTTTTTTTTAATTTAAATCTATAAAATAAAAATTATTTTTTTTAATGTCATCATATTTTTTTACTAAATTTAAAATTTAAAATTTATTATTTTATTTTTTATTTATTATTGTATAATAATTTATAGAAGGATATATATTATATTGATTGATATTAATAAAAATAATTTTTTATTTTGAAAAGAGAAAACCAATCTTTTATTTATATATCTAATATTAATTTTTATTACTAAAACTTGAAATTAAAAAAAAATAACTAATAAATTTACTTTAGAAAAGAATTTTTATCTTCAATAATGATAAAAAAAAAAGAAAAAAATTTTTGAAAGAAATAATAACTTGACAAGTCCATACTTCTTGTCTTATATAAATTTTCTAAAAAGAAAGTTTTTCAAAAAATTGAAAAAATATATAATTATTATTGTTATATTTTATAGCTATTAAATTTAAAAAAATATTATTTATAATATATAACAATTGTAAAATAAATTTAATTAAAAACTCTGTATAGAAGTATGTAAACACTAATCTGTACGAGTGACTCTGGATATCACATATACAGTACTGTATATCAATAAAGATCGCATTCTATCGCAGCCACCTTAAAAAAAAAAATAATGATAAAATAATTTCTAATTAAAAACAAAAACGTAATGATAATAATAATTGCAAAAATAAAAAGTAATTTATATAATTTATAACAAAATATGTGTGAATTTTATGTATTTATATTTGAGTAAATTTCGAATTATAATGAATATATCTAAAAAAAATACTTTAGTAAATTTCTTTACCACCACCTGATGAATTGCTTTTTGTATGATAGATGGATCTTTCGCAATTTCGCTAAAGCATTAAACAATATGATTTATGGTTTCACGACATTATGTAGCAGATACGTAAATGAATAAAATCTTTATTAAAAATTTCTTATTAATTTCCTGATATTTTACTAAAAAATCTAGTCATTTTAACGATCTTAACAATATTTGACCGTTCTTCCAGTAGTATCATATCCTTTGAAAACAATGGATTGTGGTGATAACTCATTTCGGGGTTTACCAAGGCGTACCAATAGCATTGGGGACCTTTTTATCCAGTTGTACAGTCATTTGATTCTTAGCTTGCAATGCTTTTGCGAGTACTAATTAATATTATCAAGTCCCCTAAGGTAAAGCCGATCAGTCACCTAGAGTTTTTCATGGGCGGAAAACATAGTTCTCCTCCTCTATGGTGATTCATGGTAGGATCTCATGCCATGTCGCCTCTATAACTCCTTAGGTATAGTATCTCGGGACAACGCCTCAAGGACTTGATCCTTCACATCAATTCACTTCCATTCGTCAGATCAGTTAGTGCTGCCTTTCCATATAAATGGTACTAGGTCTGAGTTTTAGAGCTAGATTTCCGTTGTTTTTTAACAATCGATGCCAGGCTGGGCACGTGTCTTTGATCGGGTCTCCCCTTCCAAGAAGGCTAGGGTTAAATTCGCACCTGAGGTTCCTAACGCCCTTCTAAGTGTTGGTTCCTTATTTTCGTCTAGCTATCTGGTCATCTCAGATAAGTTTGACTCCCAATCACTTTAGGGATGGCCCAGGGTTGAGAACAGACCAAACGGCAACCCTATACACGGTCTGCGTCAGTTCCTGCCAAACTTGGTGTTAACACTATTCCTGGGTGCTTAGAGGGCTTGTCTACCTCTAAGACTTATGGGTCCAGATTGTTCCCTTCATTAATCGTTATATCGTCCCTTCTTCTAGTTAAGCATCAGCCATCCACAGCAGGATCGGACCTATACACCTAACTTCACGTCAGAACTTCCGATCCTATCAGATCCAAACCCACTGCCCCTAAATACTTTACGAGGAACAAGAACGATCCCAAATGTAAGACATCCCGCTTATCTTACTTAGGTGAGACCTTGCAAATAATAATTAGAGAAGCTACGGCATATTAAGGGTCGTACCAAATAACCGATTTGTGCGAGATTAGACGACGTATACACTCCGCCGATTTTCAGAATAAGCATAAGAAAACCCAACTCCAGACGAACTCTCCGGCTCACCAGGCCTCCCTTAGGCGCTCTTTTGTCCCGTTCATACTAAAGGTGAAATCCAACCACGACGAAAAGTTAGAGTCAATTTGAAAAGGTAGGTTTCGCACACACCCCTATAGCAGCGGGATTAATGTGCCCGATTCAGATTTTCCCCTTCTCCACGCCAGGAATAAGGACGCCAACTAAAGTACTACCGGTTCATGGGAGTAAAGTTACCGCTCCCTGCGATTCTGGCTTTTAGCTTTCCCAAGGTCCTGTCTATTCCTTCACGAGTATCGCCACTGAGTTCCATTCCTCATGTAAAACTTTAATCCTCGCCTTCGTGTAGTATATATGAAATGCCGACCTACTACTGTCCCCATTGCTTTCCCAAACTAGGGATTGGTGTTTTAAAAGCAGAGCGTAGAGACATCGGTCCAATTCGTATATAATCGTTTTATTTCTCTCTGGAATGGGTCTTAGGTGTAGGAAGGACGTAGAATCGCCAGGAATTTTAACAAACTTTCTCTGTCCACACGTACAGAGACAGATGAACCTGCCGAAGACTGCACGACGGATCGGGATACTCGCTACAAGTATGCTGATCGAGTAGTGCCTACTAATCCTTTTAAACCCACCCGAAGCACGGATAAGCCTACAAGCCGCCCGTGCACACCTTACGGCTTTCATCGACATGTGTCTTTCAGCAATAGATTGGCAAGGTCACTCTAATTCGAATACAGAATCTTTGGATCAGGGTAATTGCCCACATCATAATTCTCTGTCCCCATAAGCTAGCCTGTGATTTTCCGGTGGTTTCATGGCCTAGGGTTGACCTCCCACGCGCTTTTTAGGCGGTTACGTTCAAAACTAACCTAACCATTGAATTCAGTTGGACTACCTTCACGGACAATTCTGTCGATATGAGTACATGCTCTCCAACAACACTGATGACCTTACAGTCTGTGAACCTTCTCCCTGTTTCCGCCTGCGTTACACGTAATGAATTTTTTGGGTTTAACACCTCAAAAAACATTAAAGTAACCTTCAGCTGCAAGCTTGCACCATCACGTGCGGGCCTTAGGGAGCTTGGCTGCTAGTTGTCCCAAAGTAACCTCACGGCCACCGCATCCCTCAGCTTTTCACCATGCCGGTCTACTCGTGGCAGCCGGTATCAATATGGTTTCCCAGATTGAGTGGTACCGAGTTTGACGGACGTTCCAGCAATTTGGCCATTCGGAAGCAGAGGTTTGGTCGAAGTCGGTTTGCCCATATATTGCACAAGTGTAAAACTTACTCCTAGCCTAGTGGTAAAGTTATCCACTTTGTTTCGGCCTATGCTTGACCTCCCACACCTTAAGGTTAGGCTACCTCTTTTGAGGGTTTCACACTAATATACGCTGCATCTACCTCCGGGAGATCACGTAGGTGAATTTGCATACACAATGTATCGCTACATTACAGCGGACTTCACTTTGTCTCTACCATCTCCATCTCTGCACAGACGGGACCGGCAACCAACCGTCCCATCCTAGTATGTTCTGGCGTCATACGCAAGGAATGTTCTAAATGTTGTATATGATATTATTATATATTGTAGCCATTTATCCTCATTTAGTCTTTGTCGGTCATAAATTTAGTCTATTATCCATGATCAATTGTGCATTTCTCGGGCGCTTTAGTTTCATTCTAGTTTACAAGCGTAAGATGTCGATTTCTAGGTCGATGTATGTGATTACACTAATAAGAGATAATGGGGTTTTAATTTAACTGATTCTTAGTTCATTAACTCCATCCGCGAGCCAAGTATAATGGTAAAAGATAGGCATTGTTGATTCGTCTTATTCAGGAAAGACTTTATGGTGTCTCGGTAATATTTGACGTCTATTCTGTTGTGAATGTTGATTAGAACGATGCGCCTAGTACTTTAATAGGATTTACATGAGCGCTTCAATAACTGAGATATTATTTTCAGCGCGTGACTTAGTGTAATCTTCAATTTTTAATATTTGATCTGAGATCAACTACGAAACTTGTACTCCGTTTCCTTTTTGCTGAAGGTGACCAAAATGCTTCACGGAATCGTCAATTAATGCTAATTTTCCTGAGTGCCCATTAATGTGATCAGTTAGCGTCGTAGATTATACTCTTTGGACTACATTGGTTCTTTCCATGTGTTCGGATCCCGAGTCTTGTATGCCTTCTTTGGATAACTCGTTTATCCCCGAAATCATATATGATAAGCGGATATTTTCCACGACGCTTATCCTTTAGGATATCTTGTGGGACAAGGACCTTAGTGAAGGATCATGACCATTCGCATTTTGAATTAACAAGTTCTAATTCTTTTCTTAGCCTTTATAAAAAATTACAGATTCTGTTATCTAATGATCTGTAATTGTTTCCCGAAGTAGACACAAAGTATCATTGATTATCTTTAGATTAAATTTATCATAGCAGAGATTTTTTACCCGAAATAGAAGACATGGGGGATGTTCTCCTTACCTCATGTATGCAACACCCCTACGGCACTTGTGCAGCATACAGTGCAGGCGAGTTTGTGTGAAATTTCCGGATCAGCAGATTTTATTTGCAGAGGGGTGTTGTTTATGCACTACTCGTGCGTCACCTGTGCAGGTGCGCTTACAATGATTTTAAGTGAAATTTCAGAATTATGGAAGCGAAAAGTGAATTTGTGCCCGGTTTTGAATCATGAGACAATAGTCACGTGAAAAGTCAATATAAAATCCAACATATGTCGTGTAACCATAATGCAAAGATATTATTAATTTCGATTATTATAGCATTTTTGTACATGCACTAAAAAAAACTATTTTAGACCATTAGGTCTCATTTCTAATAAATAAAGCTTGATTTAAGTTATGTAAGCATTTTTTTGATATTTTTTTGTAATGGCATAATATATTTATCTATTTTTTTTATCATAGCTTTATTAATTAACAAGTTCTTCTTAGGTTTTTCTTATTACACTTTTCCAAATCTATGGCTTAAACCTCTTCTATGTCATAAGACACCAGTAATCTGAATCCATATTTTCTTTTCACTATACCAATAACTATTATTATTAATTTAACCTGCATCTCTATCATAATTATAAAGGAAAGAAACTATAATCAAATAAATATAAGTATTTTATATATATCAATATTGTTTATATAATTTAACAAACCTTTGGATGTTATTATTTAATGTGAAATTATTATATCTCATAGGATTATAATAAAATTAATACAATATATATATTTTTTTTTTTTTTTTTTTTAAGGGCTAAGTTGCGATACACGCGTGGATTTTATTGTGAGATCAATTAAGATTAC